ATAAGCTGCCTGCCACAATACAAAGCTTCCTTCTTTGATTAAAAGGTACTAAATTTATGGGAAGACAGCAGTGATGCACCTTCCTGATGCTTATTGGGAACAAACTGATTTATGAGAGCAGAGAATCCAATAAAAATTTATAGATTGAGTCAAAACCTTTTTGGTGGAGCTAAAAAATATGCTTTTAGATATTTGTAAATGATTAGCTGCTTCCTGGACTTAGAGACACAAACTGAACACTTAAAAATCTCTCCCTGCTTAAAAACTGTAAACATGGGGCTGAAGTTATCCTATTTAATTATAACACCTGGCTGACCATCAACATCTTGGGCTGTCTCTTGGTGCAATGGGATCAGAAGTGCTCTGAAGGTGACTATTTCTTTACTCAGGACCGAGGGATCCAGGGTGATCAGGCTTCTATTTTTTACAATGAACAAAAGTACCTGAAGCTCCTAAATCCAGGCCATAGGTTGAAAATATAAGGAGGCATTACTGCCCTGTTGCCATTCCTTTGTATGTTGAATATATTGAATATATATTAATATAAGTCCTTTATATGTTGAATATACTGAATACACATTAATAAAATTCCTTTATATGTCGAATATGTTATTTTATATGTTGAATTTGGTCTTGAACCGAGACTGGATAGGGATTTGCCCTTACTATCCATTAGTTTGTTCAGTATCTATAATACATGCCATGATAAGAAACAAAATCCAGAGTGCTGTGCTAAGATGGAGCACCTATATTTATTCTCTTATCCATTTTCCATTGTTCATGGCAAATTTCCACTCCAGCTAGAGGAAATTATAGTATATTGATGGAAGATGATTCAAAATCTGGAGAGAGAGGAGAGAGAAAAATCAAAGGGAAATTTGCAGATTCAGCATCTTTATTACAATATAATAGTATCAGAGTGTATATTTTCTTTTGAAGACATTCCATTAACATGTCACTTGCTTTGGATTCTTGGATTCAAGAAGAAAGATCTTAACCAGCACTTGCTGGCAGACGTGCTGCAGGAGAGGCTGGTGCTATGGTAACAGAGCTGCGCACCCTGTGAGCTGCACTGAAGCAGGAACCATCAAACACCAGCCCTGCTCCCATCCAGTTCCCCTGCTGGAGCCACTGTCCTTCCAAGCATCCTCAAATCTCTCCTTTTGTTCCTGTGTCAGTGCAGGATTGTGTGGGATTCACATTCTCTGAACTTGAGAGAAACACTGAGAGAAGCAGAGAAAAGACAGATCAAAACAATTCTTGTCTCACTTACTGCTCCTGTGTTGTGCTGAACTGGAATGCAATATAGAGATTGTTTACCCAGAGTGACGATGTTTTGTTTCCTTGGCCTATCAGGGCCAAGCCTGTGTGCAGATTGTCGGTCAACAGGCAGTCACAAAATTCTGAGCAGTTGAGTTGAGTGCTTTGTGCAGATTCAGTTTAAATGTAATACAATATAGTGTAATACAGTATAGAATAATATAGTATTATAAAGTAATTCATTAACTTTCTCATATCAATAGAGTCAAATGCATTGTTTCTCCCCATCGTTGGGGTTGCCCTAATTATCAATAGGATTGTCTTTCTCCAGATAATTTTCCTTCAACATAAAATTATAAAGGGAGCATGCATAGAAATTATGTCAGTTAAAATTGAAAATTTCTTTGAAAACACTTCCTTTACTCAGGGTTGAGCACCCAGATACCTATTTCTTCATCTTAGATTTACTCATGGCTCTATTACTCTACTTTGCATACTGCTCATTAAATACAAGGAGCTAAATCTGTACGCTAAATCAGAAAACAGCAGACACACTTTGCCCTGTATTGGCCAAGCAGCCAGTGGCCTCACAAGTCTGCATGTCTGAGGTCTGATTTCAGGCACCAGAGTAGGTGTGTGCAGGCAGATAGCAATTCCTTCATATTAAACTTGAATAACAATTCAATTAATCATTTCTGAAAATGTAAGTTGCTGACTGTGTTTATGCAGGTGCTGATGGGATTAGGGTGCAGTGGTAATTGAAAAAAGGTATCTTTTAAACAGCCCCAAATCCCTAAGGAGATTGCCTGACTTGAACTATAAACCTCTGCAATTATTTCTTAATTTGCACTTACTTTTAGACCCTTGGATGGCTTCATTGATAACAAACAAACAAACAGACTGAATTTGCTAATTTTAAATTGACTGCAAATGCAGCAGTAAAACTAGTTATGCCTAATGTCCTAACTCAATAAAATGGTGAAAGCAGAGAAGGGAAGGGTATCTGGCAACTCCGTGTTTCTAGGGCATGTGTGAGGTGGACCTATCTTCACTTTAGGAGTTTAATTTGGCTGCTGTGTCCCCAGAACTTTAATTGGCTCTCCCAGCTTCTGTATCCCATGGAGAAAGGTGCTGAAGGTAAAGACCTGTCCCAGCCCCTGTGAGAGCCTCCCTCCCTGCATGGATGGCTTGGGGAGGCCTGAGGGACCACGGTGCAGCCCAGAGAATCCTGCAGAGCGGGCAGCTGCTCCCTGCTCCCAGCCTGGCATGCTTCTCACTCATTCAGGGGACCATGGAGTCTGGGAAGATGAGACCAGAGCTCCAGCAGAGGTGAGCAGGGGATAAAGCACAGCTACAACACACCTTGTTAAAGAGAAACAGCCTCATGATTGTAAAATTGTTCTAGAAGCCTTCTTTCATCTTTTACCAGACAAGACAATATGGTCATTTTTCCCCTTTGAAAGAAGAAAAATGGAGACTGCAAATAACACTGTAGGCCTTAAAAAAAAAATGAAGGCACAAACACTGGACAGATGTACTGAACAGCACTTCAGTAAAGACCTCCAGGTACATGAATAGCAGACCCAGTGTGATGTTAGAGACAGTTAAGAAACAGGATTCATCTCTCTCAGAGAATTTTTTGGAAGAAAATTACTTTCTTTTTGTTTGCTAATTGCTCCTCAGAAAGTTGTGCCCAGAATTGCATACAGGCTGTAATTGCAGCAGTTTCCTCACAAGTGAGGCATACCTTGAGAGCAAGTGTTTGCACATTCAATATGCCACACAAGTATCAATGAATAATAGGATATTGCTTTTCCAACTTCCTTCAAGTGGTTTTGAATGTTATTACATCCTGGTCAGACTTGCCACTTGATAAAAGTTAAGTAAGTGCATGGATTACAGCAAGAAGTGGGCCCATGTCATGATAAGAACACTTCAGGACATCTTGAAGATATTTACAACGACTTTCCCCCTGCCCATGCTTACAACGAGGTGCTACCCTTGCTGTCCTCCTATCTCTCTCCAGTCTCCTCCTGCCGTGCTCAGGCAGCCATTGCTCTCCTGGCTCTGAAGAGTGGAAACCCAGAGCAGTCATGGTGGGGAGCAGCACGGAGCTACTTCAAAAACTCACTGAGAGACAGAGCAGCTCAAAGCAAGCTCCCATCAGTCGAATCTGTGTCTGATGTGCAGCTCTAAAAATAACCCTGCACCGTCTGTGAGAGGTGAGAGCCCACTGCAGCCTCCATGTTGCCTTTGCTCAGTGTGTCCTCACAGGACACAGAGCAGGATCACTGGAGCTGACCAGGGTGAGCCTGCCTATGCCCCCACCAGGAAAACAAGCAGCCACTGAAAAATGAAGGCAGATCCTTGTGCGTGGTGGTTCAGTGCTAATAGATGTCCAGGCAGCAGCCTAAGACAAATCAATATCTGTAATAAGGCTCATCATGCTCCAATAACCGCTGCAATCTGCATAGGAAGGCTCATGCTGGATGAAGGGGAATGTGTGTTCCTGAGGGAAAAGGCACTTAAGAGTAAATTCTCATTAAGTGAAAATTATTTGCTGATGAAAGATTAAGCCAGTTGGCAACTGGACAAAAGATGGGTGCATGGCAGGGAAAGAGCACATAATGTTTTCTAATAGATACAGCTGAGGTTTGTGGTGGTGATATTCAATGTAAGCTGCAAACTGCAGCTTTGCTTCCAAGCATAGCTACTTTTTAATTCCTTTTTAAGGATTTTCCTAATATTTTCACAGAAGAAAGCCAAGACAGATCTATTAGAAAATAGCTGGAGAGACTATTTTTATATCTTTAATTAAATATTTTAAAGAAGTACACTTCTGAGAGAAAAAATGTTATAGTGTGGGGGTTTTTTTCCCAAACATATGGTTAGGCTGTTAGAGATAAGAGCATTTATGATTTTCCATATAGATCTGATGAAACAGCTTCTTCATTTACATTTCAAGGAATGAATTGGATGGGGGAATTATGCAAGAAAAGAAAATAAGACAGAAGAAAAAGAAAGAACTCAAAAGTGAGAGGACCATAATACAGCTACAAATACCTCCTGGAGTTACCTTGGAAAGAAGAGCATATACAGCTTGCTATCATGCCTGACAAACAGATTTTGGCCATTTTACTCTGGGAACAAGAGCACACATTATGGTTCAGAGATGAGGGGGAGGGTTTCAAATTCTTTTGTTACTGAGTATTGGCTTCACACCACTTAATGGCTCTTTAGATGTGCCCTGGCAAATAACTCTTGCTCGACAAAGCCGAGGAGTGGCAGACCCATGCAGACAGAGCCTGGCTCCCATCACTGTCCATGGGAGGCTGGGGCTGGTGTCCCTTGGGATGCTGGAGCTGCTGTCCCTTGGGATGCTGGAGCTGCTGTCCCTGAGATGCTGGGGCTGCTGTCCCTGGGGATGCTGGAGCTGCTGTCACTGGGGATGCTGGGGCTGTATCCTTTGGGATGCTGGGGCTGTATCCCTTGGGATGCTGGAGCTGCTGTCCCTGAGATGCTGGGGCTGCTGTCCCTGGGGATGCTGGAGCTGCTGTCCCTGGCATGCTGGGGCTGCTGTCCCTTGGGATGCTGGGGCTGCTGTCCCT